AAGCCAGGGATATGAAATAGTAAAGTATTAATGTTAGTATAAATGTTGTATAAGTAATGTTTAATTATTTGATATATGTTCGTCTGCAACATTGATTGTACTCCCGACAGTGCCTGTACTACCTATTCGCCGCTACGCTGGTGTTACTGCCCCGATCGATTTGGACTGCGGCACTGTTGGAGGAGTGCAGAAATAAGGAGAGAATACATCACTGATTGTGGCGCATCACAATAGACAATGGGTCAGAGACAGCATTTCAGAGACCCAAAGGGATGGAGGACTATTGCATCCTCATTAATCTGGAAATCGACAAATTAAAATGGCAATCAGAAGAATGAGGGTCATGGGAACTTTTGGATCCACTATTTACCCTTTCTCAATGAGATCAAATATATCCATGACAGAGTCAGCTGAGGACCAAACTTCATCTTCTACAATTTATCAAATAGAAGAGGAACTGTCATATTTGAATGTGATATCCAAGAAATCATTGACTACTGGAGTAATGTTCAAATTGACCAGTGGTCATTTGACTCAGAAACAAGTTCAAAAGTTTCTCTGGTGTGCCCAGCAAGACAGTGGATGGGAACAAGAGTGGCCTAGAAATATGCCAAGAAGAGGACAGCCATCTCCACACCAACAACATTGATCTAACAATATTGTCTCACATTCTATTGCAGCTGATCAACCCAAGTTGGAACTGCCAGTGTCTACCAACACCGAATTAAAACTAACTGTAACAGTGTCTGAAAAAACGAAGGCCCATTAATGAAATAACGATAACACACCCTACCACAGGTAGCAGCCCAAAAAAACGCAATAATACAATTCACAGGGGTACTCATTATATGTGATTACTGCAACGTTTTAGATTTTTCATTTGTTGGAACGAAATACGACGATATCAGTTACAGCAACCCATGGGACTGGAAAGCACACCAAAGTCTGCAAGACGCATACAAACAATACCAAAAAAAAAACACAACATATCATCAGAGACTCCAAGTAAGACGCAACTCCAACAAAACGTCAAACAAAAATCGTCGATTTTCCACCAGCTAACATAGCTGCCACCCTCTCTACGCATACAACAAGGTGCAAGAGTCATATACTTAAACAATTCGCTAATCGAAAAAGTATCTGCAACGGCACAGTCGGAATCATTACTGGGATTTTTATAGCGAGAGCGAAAGGGAAAGAACCCGTGATACGGTTCACCAGTAGAAAAATTACAGTTTAAGTCTATGAAGTTACGGTTCATAAGGTTGATGACAAAAACCACTCTTTCAATCAAAGTAGCGTTTTGTATACAAAATGGAATAGTCCATGGATACTTTTATACAGCAGGACAAAAGCTTCACATACACAATTTCCCTAGAAAATTCATTCGCACTTACAGTACACAAGACACAGGGGCTTACATTACCGAATGTAACCCTAATACTAGACAATAACTTATTCTCTGCTGGTCAAGCATATGTCGCAATTAGCCGTTGTTCATCATGGGAAAATATCAACATAATTACATTACATAGAGATGCATTCATAACAGACAAACGTATAATTGAGGAATACCAACGACTCCAATTATTAGCAGAACAGCCATTTAAACAAATCACACCAACTACAACTTAAACTATCCACTACAATAGATAACTCTACCATAATACACAGTGAAAGTTGATATCACGAATTTTGCCTTATTATTATACGGACTTTTTTGCTGGGACGGAATTTTTACTAAGTATTATAGTGGACTTTTATATTAAACAGTGATATAACGGATCCGGACGAACACATTTAATTTAGCTTTATCTCGATATAACGGATTTTGTGTAACGAAGTCTGTTATATCCATACTGCAGTTATATCCATACTATACTGAAGTCCGCGGAGTCCGTTATACACAATTAAATATAAGAATAAGATTTCCCCCCCCATTTTATGCTACACGTCACGTATCTAACAAATTACAAACTTAACATAATGTCGACATTCTCTTCTTGTTCTGGGACATTGAAATATAACAAAACAAAAAAGAATTATTCATGCAAAAAACAAAAAAATACCAAACAAAAACCAACTACATAGTCAACCTTGTGTTACGGGTGGTCTGGGGTTTGGGAGAGCAATTAATCTTTCGCGTAGGGTGTTCTTCCGACCGGGGGATGTTACCAGATTAGCTTCATGCTACCGCCCTTAATACGGTAGTTGTTCAATTAAG